TACTTCTAAATGTGCAATTATGTGACCTTTCTTAATGCCTAATTCTCTTAATTCTTAATAATGTAATTCTTAATAATCTGATTCATTAATAATGTACAATTATACACATACTTTTGTGTTCGGTTTCTCTCTTTACTTTGCTATCTCTTTCTTTGTTACTTTTTATAATGTGCAATTACATGTAAATGTATGCAACCTTTCATAATTCATATTGCTTAATTCTCTTAAATCTTCTCTCTCTCTCTTTCTCTATCCCTCTCTCTCTCCTCCAGATGCCTCGTATATGGATGGATTACTGTCAGTTCTTAACTGAACAGAATAAGATCACTAGAACCAGAAGGACATTTGATAGATCATTACGGTCACTCCCTCTCACCCAACATAAAAGAATATGGCCGCTCTACATCAAGTTCCTCAGACTGCACAACCTTCCAGAGACAACAGTTAGAGTTTATAGACGATATATACAGGTGGGTGTGGAGTTAGTTAAATATTAATTATTATTGTTGTTGTTTTTATGTAGCTTTGTCCAGAGAATAGTGAAGAGTTTGTTGATTATTTGATATCAATAGATAGACTTGACGAAGCTGCTATTAAACTAGCTGAAATTGTCAATAAAGTAATCTCTCTCTTTCTCTCTCTCTCTCTCTCTTTATTCTACTTTATTTTTATAAATTATATTTTTCTTTTAGGAGTCATTCTTTTCAAAGGAAGGTAAGTCCAAGTTCCAGTTGTGGTATGAGCTGTGTGAGCTGATAGCTAAGAACCCTGACAAAGTAAGTACTCACTGATTTATTAATTATACTTTTATTTTATTTTTGTTTTCTTTAGGTGACTAGTTTAAATGTAGAGGCTATCATTAGAGGAAGAATAAAACGGTTCACTGACATGGTGGGACAGTTGTGGTGCTCACTAGCAGACTATCACATTAGAGCTGGTAGATTTGAGAGAGTAAGTTACATTACACATATACTCTCATTCACTATAACAGTACTGTACAATGTACATGTACATGTAGTTTATTTTTTTTTGAAATGCCCATTACTTGAAAATTATTTGCCGGAATCAGCTTAAACTTTCTACACAGCATAAGAACATCAATATGTATCAGAAAATGTAATAAAAATTGGGGGTGATTTTTTAGCCATTTTTTGGAAAAAAGCATGGGCTATAGCCTTTTTTTTTTTTTTTTTTTTTTTAATTTTTTTTGAAATAATAGCCCTGGGTATTTTTCAGATTTTGGCAAATTTCTTAAATTGGCTGTAACTTGAAAAATTTAAGTCGGAATCAGCTCAAACTTGCTAGGACATCAATATGTATCAGAAAATGTAATAAAAATTGGGGGTGATTTTTTGGCCGTTTTTTGGGAAAAACCATTGGTGTACTGTGTATTTTAAGAAATTGTCCGATTATTTAAATTGCTCATAACTTGATTACATTATTGTCTCCCTCCAAACTCTTTTTATATCTCTGTACCTCTACTCCTCTCTCTACCCTCTGTCTGTCTCTCTCCTCCTACTCTTTCCTCTCATACCCCTCTCCTTCTCTTTCTTTCTCCCTTTTTCTATTAGACTATTATACTAAAGTCTAAAGCAGTCACATTGTGATTATTGAGACTACTACTTCACAGACAAGAAGAGAACAATTACATTGACTATCTGTGTCAAACTGTCAACAAGCAGTCACAATGGCTGATCATTGAGATGGCAACTTCACGGACAAGAAGAGAACAATTACTATGTGCATTGACTATTTTTGTCAACAAGGAATAGATTTAACCTTTGCTCACTTGCCTTACACAAAGCCGTGGATGTGTTGTGTTCACGGAAAGTAATTACTGGTCATAGTCTCATATGCAATACTAGTTACTCTAATATTCATTTTAATGGTGGTGGATTAAGTTTCAAAAATTTCTACCAGAAGGCAGAAGTGTTGTCTAAAGGTTACTTCAAAGGGGACTTCTAATAATAAATCTTAGCCTTAAGAATGAAAGTGCATGCTAGCTAAGCTTATGTAATGCATGAATGAAAGTGCATGCTAGCTAAGCTTATGTAATGCATACAAAATAAAGTTGAAAATTGGCTCTATGATGTAACATGAGCCTGTACATATATACATGCCAGCAATTGATGCCAAATTATAGTACTCTAGTCAATTCAACGACTAGAGCTTTGATACGACAAGCATAGGTGTCTGTAGTACATTCTGATGTGCGTGGGCGTATGCTTTTAATTATTAATACCGCGCGCGGAGAAAGATCTGCTTACATTATAGCTGCCTGGCCTAGGATTTACATCAAGAAAGCTCGGAGGTCAACAAAACTTTACTCAAGCGGGGTGGCTAAAGCCACACTCGTACCCGCTACGTTTGATTTCAGCTGAATTGCTGATATCAGCCTCCTCATTTTTTCGCATCAAGACACAGGACACATCAGAAGTAGCTTGCTAAACTATAAAGTGGGGTGGCTAAAGGCCACACCCGCCTGCAAGGTAAGACGTAGACCTTTTCTAGCCATGTATTATGGATGCCATACTATTTAAAACTGTCACTGTCAGAGTGCTTGACCCCACCCACACCATGCACACTTTGTGTAGGAAAGCACCTTGGGGAACCAACCCTCCACTTTTGCATGGGTTTTCAGAACCAGTTCTTTCTATATAATTCTCTGTAGCCAACTAGCCCTGGGCTCCTGCATACATAGACAATGAATGCGTGGGTGGATAGGTGATACTTCGGCTGCTAGTGAAGGGGGGCAGCCAGATGGGTCCCCATTTACTTATTATTGCTGGGAATATGGGAATAAATGCTGCATATGTATGTACATAGATATTAGAGTAATTCTTTATTTCTTGTTACTTTTTTATATCCCAATTATATTTTTCATTTCTCCTTTTCTTTTTCACTTGTTGGTTTTTTTTTCCCACTAATTCTGTCATTACTATAAGTTTTTCCAAGATGTCAGATAAAAAGAGTGATGATTCTGAGAAGCCAATTGATGATAAATCTGAAGAAGATAAGGTACAATAATTATTATCATTATGCTGGGGAGTAGATTTACCTTAACAGTATGAAACATTGCATGTGTACCATAATGTTGGGAGTCCTTCAATAAGTTTATATGTAGAATCCATGCATTGTATCATGCCTTTAGAGCCTCAGGGTATTTTCTTATACTGCTAAATCAAACTCACATAATCTATCTACAGTGTATTCTGTGAGAAGCAATAGTTCATAAAGACAAGTTAAAAAAACTAATTTTAGTGAATTTATCAGGGATCTTGAAAACAATTAATTTGATAACAAAATTATTGATTCATGGTTAATTTAGTGGATGTGGTCACAGGGAAATTACCGTATATATGGCTCAAAATTTTTGAGGCCTGTAATTTCTGTGAATTTGTCCAAGAATGTACCATATATGTTCAAATTTTTGAATATTTAAAATGTTGTGTTTTCAATGAAATGTGTTCGAAAGTTAATATCCTTGTGAGCTAATTTTCATATTCTGGCCATAGTCTACATACAATAGAATGGGATTAGAGGTGGTTTAGATTTCATGGATTTAAGGTGAGCACGAAAATAACGAAATTTAATGCACCTCGAAAATTTAAGACGTGTATGGTATCTTGTGGATTTAATTTTTGCAAAATTACACTGGTCTGCCATCTTTAATTGTGCCATATATATTGATTTTTGTGAATCTTAAAAGATTCACAAATTTGTGAAATTTATGTCTATCAAAAATTTTGGGCCATATGGTAGTATACACGCTAATATGCATGTCAGCAGGCTTAATGTACATTTTATCTTTTAATACATGTACATGTATGTTGTTCTCCCTGATTTTAATCAACAATAATTATTACTACATGTATACTGTTATCTTTTGTTACACAATAGGAAGTAAGTGATAATGTGTTACATTTCATCTTATAATTTTTTATTCTCTCTAACAATATTAAACTGTCCCTCCCACAATAGCTTGTAAGTCATAATGTGTACTATTATTTACATTTTATTTTTAATCTGTCTTTTTCTCTGATATCAAATTATCAATCAACAATAATTAAACTGTTGTCTTGGTCACACAATAGTTGGTAAGTCATAATGTGTACTATTATTTACATTTCATTTTTAATCTGTCTTTTTCTCTGATATCAATCAACAATAATTAATCTGTTGTCTTGGTAACACAATAGCCAGTAAGTCATAATGTGTATTATTATTTACATTTTATTTTTAATCTGTCTTTTTCTCTGATATCAATCAACATTAATTAAACTGTTGTCTTGGTCACAATAGGACGTAAGCATAATGTGTACTATTATTTACATTTTATTTTTAATCTGTCTTTTTCTCTGACATCAATCAACATTAATTAAACTGTTATCTTGGTCACAATAGGACGTAAGTCATAATGTGTACTATTATTTACATTTTATCTTTTAATCTGTCTTTTTCTCTGATATCAATCAACAATAATTAAACTGTTGTCTTGGTCACAATAGTTGGTAAGTCATAATGTGTACTATTATTTTCATTTTATTTTTAATCTGTCTTTTTCTCTGATATCAATCGACAATAATTAAACTCTTGTCTTGGTCACACAATAGCTTGTAAGTCATAATGTGTACTATTATTTACATTTTATCTTTAATCTGTCTTTTTCTCTGATATCAATCAACAATAATTAAACTGTTGTCTTGGTCACACAATAGAGAGTAAGTCATAATGTGTACTATTATTTACATTTTATCTTTAATCTGTCTTTTTCTCTGATATCAATCAACAATAATTAAACTGTTGTCTTGGTCACACAATAGGAAGTAAATCATAATGTGTACTATTATTTACATTTTATCTTTAGTCTGTCTTTTTCTCTGATATCAATCAACAATAATTAAACTGTTGTCTTGGTCACACAACAGGATGTAAGTCATAATGTTTACTATTATTTACATTTTATCTTTTAATCCGTCTTTCTCTCTGATATCAATCAACAATAATTAATCTGTTAATTGTCTTGGTCACACAATAGTATGTAAGTCATAATGTGTACTATTATTTTTATCTTTTAATCTGTCTTTCTCTCTGATATCAATCAACAATAATTAAACTGTTAATTGTCTTGGTCACACAATAGTATGTAAGTCATAATGTGTACTATTATTTACATTTTATCTTTTAATCTGTCTTTCTCTCTGATATCAATCAACAATAATTAATCTGTTGTCTTGGTCACACAATAGAGAGTAAGTCATAATGTTTACTATTATTTTATCTTTTAATCCATCTTTTTCTCTGATATCAATCAACAATAATTAATCTGTTGTCTTGGTCACACAATAGTATGTAAGTCATAATGTGTACTATTATTCACATTTTATCTTTTAATTTGTCTTTCTCTGTGATATAAATCAACAATAATTAAACTGTTGTCTTGGTCACACAATAGCCAGTAAGTCATAATGTGTACTATTATTACCCGAGCCCACGCGTAGGCGTGAAAGTGAGGGTAAAGCAGTCGTCCTGTCTGTGTGTGTGTTCGCTTGGCCTCCACTTTTGAGCTGACACTGCTTTCTTGTCTAGTTCTGGAGAGTCTTATAATCAACACTGGCTCTAGAAAAAGTTATTCTCCGTCTTGGGAATGCTATAATTTTCTTTTCCGTGCAGTAAGAAGCTGGCAAAGTCGCCAAACGTAGGTCGGTTCCCCGACAACTTTTTCATAGTGTGAGCAAAAGAGCAACTGGGCAGATAAAACAATAAAGCAAAGCCTCATCTTTCATTAACATGAGAGGAATTGCTCTAATCATCTTCGTTTTAAAGATATGGTAGCCCAAAAATTCATACTTTTGTGACTGAGTTTACACGAGGCTATCTTCTCCCGAAGTAGCGGCCAGAGTCTTTAAACATCAGGGGCTCAATAGACGTTTGTATGCAACAAATAGAGCCTAACAAATGTATGCTAAACTGTTTAAAAGTCGAGAAAAACTAAAGCTTTCTTCACCACTTAGAGCCATGTGCCCACCATTACTGTGTGTGCGGGTGGAGCATGGCTTGATTGAGCCACACCTTCATTGCAGCCACACCTTTACATTACTGCAGCAGTGCAGCAAGCATGCTGGAGCTTCTTCTCTGTCTAAAAAACAAAAAAAATCACTGTCTCAAAACATTCACTAAGTTTTTACATGCTGAAGCTTCTTTTCTGTGTCAAAACTTTCACTAATTATTTTTCTCTTAATTTATTAAAATTGTTACACACAGACTGTGGCGAGGGTATGCACTTTAGTGCTCTCGTTTACATTTTATCTTTTAATCCGTCTTTCTCTCTGATATCAATCAACAATAATTAAACTGTTAATTGTCTTGGTCACACAATAGGGAGTAAGTCATAATGTGTACTATTATTTACATTTTATCTTTTAATCTGTCTTTCTCTCTGATATCAATCAACAATAATTAAACTGTTAATTGTCTTGGTCACACAATAGGCAGTAAGTCATAATGTGTACTATTATTTACATTTTATCTTTTAATCCGTCTTTCTCTCTGATATCAATCAACAATAATTAAACTTTTAATTGTCTTGGTCACACAATAGGGAGTAAGTCATAATGTGTACTATTATTTACATTTTATCTTTTAATCTGTCTTTCTCTCTGATATCAATCAACAATAATTAAACTGTTAATTGTCTTGGTCACACAATAGGCAGTAAGTCATAATGTGTACTATTATTTACATTTTATCTTTTAATCCGTCTTTCTCTCTGATATCAATCATTAATTATTATTCTGTTGTCTTGGTCACACAATAGCTTGTAAGTCATCATGT